CTATAATCCTGCCAAAACTAAAACTATCATTAAAAGCATCGTAATTAACTATTATTTACCTATTATTAAATTATTAAACTGTCTTTAAATCATTCACTATAAATTATATGACTAAGCTATTAAATAAAAAAAAGGACTTCAACTCTGATTTGACATATTATAGCCTCAGGTTAAGGAAGAAAAAAAAAGATAAGAAAAAGCAAAGGTTAATAGAAGAATAGGTTAAAGAAAAGACTTAGAAGAAAAGAAAAGTAGTACTTATTTACAAATAAACTATTTTGCCAAATCTAATATGCCTATTTCGATTTAGCCACTATAGGTTACATGAGGATTAAAAAGAATTAGTGACAGACTCACTGATTTTATAAATTACAATATCTATTTCTTAAATTTTAGTTTTATAAAAACTTTCTGCTAGTTTTTCTGTAATTTATATATAATTTATTTTTGATTTGAATTTACATTTAGCTTATGAAAACTCTTTTGCATTTGGATTAAATATATCACTAAACTTTTGTCTTTTTAATCAGCTCAGCAATAAGTTTTGTTTTGCTTGTTTTTTCTTTTAGTTAAATAGTCTGTCTAGGTTCATATTTATTATTGCATTAAAATCTCTCATAACTACTATTTGAGTTCTTGATGATCTTTTAACATATTTGTTAATTATTAGTCTTTAAATTGCTTTTTTTTTTTTATCATTTGACAATAAGTAAGTTATTATAATTATAATTTTCACTTATTTAAAAAAAAACTTACAAATATTATATATTTATTTATTCTCTCTACTTAATTTAAATGTTTTTTTTATTTTTTACTAATTATTAATTCTATTCTTGAACCTTTTTTCTTATTTAAACTTGTACTTAACCAAATATTTTTGTAATTTTCTAAATTCTTTTCTAGAAAAAAATTTTCTTTGATTGAAATGTTTGTTTTTGTTAGACCTATTATATCTAGTTTATTATTAGTTATTTATTCATAAAGTGTTTCTATCTTTTGGTTATTTGTTTTGAGCTCATTAATATTGTGTACTGCCAGATTTAACTTGATTTTTTTATTTTCATATATTTGTTTTATGCTTAAAAATTTACTTTTATTATTTTTTGTTAAACATAACTTTACTATTTCTATATAAATTATAAATAATATTAATATTATTAATTACAAATGTAACTTTAATATTCTAAATTCTTTTAAAAACTCCTTACTATTATTATAATAAATTAATTATTATTTAGATTATAATTTTATTTTGTATTTTTTAATATTAGATATACTTGAATTATTTTTTATTTTATTAGTATTTTTTCTGTCTTAGGATACCAGTTTGCAAAGTTTTTAAATACCTGTTATATTTTCTTTTTTATATACTTAATTAAAATATAACTTATTTATAATATTTTTAATAAAAATAAAATTATACTTTATATAAAATTCTAATTAAATATTTAATAAAAATAGAAACATAACTTTATTATTAATATTAAAAAAAATTATTAATTTTTTATATATTAAATTAATTTAAATAAATAATTTTCTTTTTATTATAATTTTTTTTTTATATAATAATTATAATTAAAATTTTTTGTATGTTTATAAACTAAGATTACATTAATATACTTATATAGTAATACAAAAATACTTAATTATGATTGGTTAATTGATAAATATATCAAAAAACTTTACCAATTTTTTAATATTAAATATATTTATTTAATTGCAAGTTAATATATAAAATTTTGTATAAATACATTTTAATTCAAATGTATAAGTTAATGTATTATGCTTAATAAGACGACCAATAATATATAATTTGTGCACATTTTCGATATAATGTTATTTAATAAATATAATTTTAAAATATTTTACGCTGTTTGTGATTGGACGAAATTGCTGCGCCGCCATCAAAATGATCTGCAAAAATAGCCAATCACAGAGAAAGCCAGCTATGCTAACGACTTCATGCCAGATAACAAGACGTAACATGTCACTCTGAAGTTACAATTAATTAGCGTTAATAAAATTTTGATATGTACGTACATAAAATAATAGTGTTGAGCATTAGTAGCGTGATTTAGATATGTAATCATAAGTTACTAATAACAGCTAATATCAGTAAATCTAATATTAGCCAATATTAGTAAATCTAATATCAGCCAATATTAGTAAATCTAACATCAGCCAATATTAGTAAATCTGTTTAGTGTTGGCCGATGATCTTAAATGATCTTATACGTATGATCTGTTGTAGGTCATATTGTCATAATACGTATGATTTTAATCAAAGTAAAATTAGCACTTAATACGCATGATCATGACCAAAAAGTCATATGATTATATGATCAAAAAAAAATTTATTTTTTTTGACTTTGGTTATCGTTATCGGCCAATACTTAATTTGTCAATTTGGCCGAAATGAAAATGACTATTTTGATATAAAGTCTAATATTTAATGTTAGTTATTGTGACGGATTAAAATAAAATCAGATTAAAACGAAGAAAATCAGATTAAAAATGAAATCAGATTAAAATCAAATTAAAATCAGATTATTTTAAAATATTAAAATGAAAATGAGTGATAGCGTCAAATAGACAAATCACCGAAATTGCAAAATTTTGGGGTGCATTTTATTAGCATGTTTTTTAGGGCTAGGGTTTCAGGTTTAGTGTGTAAGTGGGTTATAAGTGGGTTTTAAGGGGGGCCAAATAGAAACCCTCATTCCATTTTAAACCAATTTCATTAGGCAATTATGTAGCAACTATGACTGGAATTCTGGAACAGACTAAGAATTTAATTTATGTAACAATAATAATAAACGAGGAATTCTGGAACAGACTAAAACTTATCATGAATTTTTGATACCAACAAAAAATTTAGATATTTTTATATTTACATATTTCATGAAACTTCCTTGGCCTTCTAACTTCTCGGGGACATACCAAAATTTAGTTGTCGTAAAATTAATTAAAAACGTCGGCATGTCCGAAAATAGTAAGCACTTTGATATTAATTTTTATGGTAGAATGAATTAGAATCGCTGACAATATTTTTGGAAAGTAGGAGAGTAATTGGTACGATTAATTATGTGATTTTAGTTACGTACTACGTATGATATCTCACGTAATAGCAATAGATACGTAATAAGACAGGAATTTCAAGAAGTATTAACTGTTAAGTTATAAAATGTCACACCCCTTAGTTAATTACGTTTTATTTATTTATACGTATGTATATGTAATAACTAAAGATAATATAATAATAATTATTATTGTTATTATAAAAAGGAGAACAAAGCTTTTCTTTTTGTGGCGTCTTGATTTACGATCATGTAAAAAAAAAAAGCAGCTGATGAAACATGTACATACGATTAGATTTTGTGGCTGAGATTAGAAAGGAAAATTAATAAATTCCATGGCTTACAAATAGTAAGAATTCTTTATTATTGAATGAAAAACATGAGAATTTTTTATCGTTACAAAACAAGCCAAATTACTTGAAAGAAACAAGTTGTATGCTGTTTTACATCGTGGTATAATTATTTCGTAATTTTTGTAACATTCGATTTTAAATAGATCACACATTATCGATTATGTAGATTGATCTAAGAGAACTACTATTGCCTTATTTGGAAAAATCTGATGTGGAGAAAGCCGTATTATGTAATAAATTTAAATAAACTTGAACGTAGAATGAAATTTTTTCACACAAATTATTATAGTGCTGTAATGTTGTTATATTGTATATACATACAGTATATATAATATATATATAATATATATAATATATATATAATATATATTATACATATATTATACATATATATTATATAGATTATAACTAATTTTCATCCTAGGTGTTATCACCCGGTATTATTACAAGTAAAATAAATTTAAGGTTAGTGTTGGGTTAGCATTGGTTTAGGTTAGATTAAAACTTTTGCTTAGAAGTCAAAGCATGAGTTATTAGATTTTATTTCTTATTTTTTATACAACCAGGTGATATCACCTAGGGTGAAAATTAGCAATTGTCTATTATATATATATATATAATTATATAGAAACTAGTAATGATGTTAATGATGTTAATGATGTTGCAAAGGATAAACGATGCAAAGTAGATACTGATAAAAAAAAAGGATATTAAAAAAAAAAACGGAGTTAGGACCACACTTAGAAAATAGAAGTTACACATGAGTCATGTATCATACCAGAATACCAAATAACACCAAACAATAAAAAGAAAGAACTTTTCTTTCACCAATACCCTTTTATCGATTTTGCCCCGCATAAAATTGTTTCCAAATTGAACTTGCCCCGCATAAATCCGTTTCCAAATTTGGAAAAAGTTACCTTACGCAATTTTTAAAATTTTTTTATCAATTATCTAAAATTATCTGATTGTTGATTGTTGTTGATTAACCTGCATTATCAGTTATTTAATCAATTTAATCAATTTTATCAATTTTATCAACTTTATCAATTTTATCAATTTTATCATGTGTAACATACGTAACATATGTAACGTAATTATTTTATCCGTGAGAACATTAATGCCTTTAAAAGATTTTGTGATACATTATTCAAGTTCTAATTTTTAAATTTATTTATATGGAAATATTGTAACTAAAAAAAAAAAAAATACTAATGCATAGCGATCGATATATTTTATATTTCTGTATTTATTATAATAATTATATAATTTAAAATAAAATAAACAATATACAAAATGTTTAATGCAAAAATTTGACCAATCGTCAATGCTACATACATACACGTTCAACTTTAATTTTACATCCAACTTTTTGCTCAACAAAAAGAAAATACATAATACAGTAAGAAATTTGAAATGTCTATTTTTATGTCTAAGTAATTGAATTTTAGATATAGTAATTTAGATATAGTAATTGAATTTTAGATATAGTAATTGAATTATATAGTAATTGAATTGAAATATTTAAGTACAAGTATACGTAATGTCTATAATATTTAACTAATAAAGTTCATATAACATGAATTGGATATGATGTCAGTTCCATTTTGTAAGGGGGTACATCGGTAATGATGCTATTATAAGAAGGTAATGGAAAGTCTATATTTTCAATATGATCACTGATTCCATGTAAATGAAAGGTATAAGGATCATGTTCCCTATAAGCAGGTAATTCCATATCATCTTTTTTTAGTGTAATTATAATCGGTAATGTGGCTCGTAATTCAACAAGTCGGGATTCGTAAACCATAAAAACTATGCTTAATCTTAATTGATGAGATATTTGAATAATAGAATTATCAGTATCATATAGACATGCATTTTTTGTTTTAGGTATTCTTATTTTTATTAAATCAGACCAACGTTCTCCATTCCAATTGAGCTTGTTGCCTTTTACGGTGCTAACAGCTCTTGTTGATGCTCTTTTCTTAGTACCAATGTTGTAAGAAACAGATTCGCTAAGTGAAGTAACATATTCATGAATCCTTATTGATTCATTCAAAGGTGTAAGATCGATTGAAAATGATATTTCATCATCCAATGTAAAGGTTTTTGAATCAACTGAAAGATCGTAAATAACTTTATCAGTCCATAAATTTGATACCACTGTATCTAAGGCATCTTCCAAGTTTAAGAGTGTACAGCGTTGAAGTGTTATTTTTTGTCGTGCGTTCAAGTTTAAAGCCAAATGTCTTTCTGCAACCGCCTTTAATTTGTATTCAATAGATCCTTGTTCACATCCTTCAACAGTTTCAGGTAATGAGCCAGGTAGAATAACTTCGAAATCGTAGTAATGTTTACCAGATTCAAGAATGTGATACTTTTTGGGTTCAAGGAATACCCACTCATGTTGAAATACAATCTTTTCTTCGCTTTGAAATGGTGATAAAGAATCTAAATATTTAAATGAAAATGTATAAGTTAATAATGTTTTTATTATTTAATATCATAAAATATTATCATGAAATATCATAAAATATTATGATATCATAAAATATTATCATGAAATATCATAAAATATTATGAAATATGATTAATAGCATATATAAAAAACTTTTTAACGATCCTCACCTCCATGCCAGACAACCTTGGATTTTCCTTGAAATGTCAATTTAATTGATTTGATTTTCGTTACTTCACTAAGTTCTAAGACCAATTTTCCTCTTAAGACATTACCCGCGCTTTCTTGTGGTGCACCATGCATTATTATATTATCTCTCTCAACAATTATTTGAAAGGAAGGTGTATTAAACATTTTTTATGAATGTGTTATATATTTGATAAAATTTACTTGATAATTAAATATAATATTTTAATAAACGATTGTAATATTAATTAATTAATTAAAGATTTTGATTTTTTAAAATTAAAAGATTTTAACTTTTTTTTTTAAAAAATTAAAGATTTCGATTGTTTTTTTTGTTTTTTCAAAAAATTCGATACTGTACCGGATTTATATATATACACAAAAAATCTGTATAGTACTTAATTCGTAAATTTATACGGCTTAATTATAAATAAGATATTTTTAGTTTGTTCATTAAAGTAAGTGGCGTTTTTTTTTGTTTACTGACGTTTTGTGTATCACTTCGGTCCAACATCATACTACTTTTTTTTTTTACCACGATGGACAATTTTCTGTGTGGGGTGACCCAATCAATAGCACTAGTATTTTTCCCACTTAAGACAAATATTTAACGTTTATATTACGTATTATGTTATACGTATATTATTATTATTTTATTATATACAGTATTATATAAATATTATCTAATATGCTATATAATATGATATATCATGTGATATAATATGCTATACAATATGCTATATCATATTATATGCTATATAATATGTTACACGTATCATATGCTATATTTATATTAAAATACTTTTAAATATTCTTCTTTAACATAAAAAGACAGTTAGGAAATGGGTGCACTTACAATGCATGTAACTTGACCCTATAATTAAAATTGCTCCCTTTGTTTCGTTTTCGTAGCAACAATGACTAACAATGAATCCATTTCAATAAATTTCTTCAATTTCATATTGATTACTCTTTAATTAGTAATTAAAATTTCTCAAATAACCTTCTATTTGTCGGAAATCGTGAAACATATGATTTACATATATGGAATATAGTTTCTTTTTTAGATATATGCTATTCAAGGAAAATCATTATAGTTGCTTAATTTAATCATTGAATGTTATGTATAAGGAATCATCACCGAGGTCATAGTTCGACAAAAAAACAAACAGAATAATACTTCTCTTTTTTCCTTAGATTGTCCTACCATAATATGCAATAATGCTGAAATTATCCAATGTAGTCCTATAACTCATGCAATAATTTGCCTAGAACCGTGGAATGCATGCGGTGTAATACATACCCATTACACATCCCATTAAATACATACCCATTCACTATTGTTTTTGCTTCAATAACTATTTTTATAGGTCACTAGGTGATCCCTAAACTGGTTTTTTTTTTTTTTTCGGCCGGGTCTTTTTTGAAACTTCTCTCTCGAAACTCCTCTTTCGAAACTTTTCTCTTAAAACTTTTTGTAACCTATCAATATTTATTATATTTTAACTTTTAATCGTATTATTGCTATTAAAAACATTTTTTTGATTGAATAACGATAAATAATTAATATTAACGTTAAAGCCATTTATTCTATTTAAACATAAATTAATCCAAGTTGGAAACTTGAACAATTTTGAATGTGATTCTCTTGTGATATTATCTCAACTTACCTAACTTAGAACCAAGCCTCAAGGCTTAGTGTGCTTAAAAAATACATTCCTTATGTTAGAATCCGAATTTGATTTTGAGAAATGTTTTTTTGTGTCAGAAATATGCATAAATCGCGTTCCAAATTGCTTATTCCTTCTTTACAAATCATTGATATCATTGACTTATAAACAATGAAATATGTTGAATATCTCACTATATATATATATTCATGTAGGAATGAAACTTGTTGTGAACTTGCGAACTTTCATACATCAAGAAGAATAAGAAGAATGATGTGAAGTTACACTACAAATTGTAAATGTTATTTGATTGGTTAACTATTTTTATATACCAATCAGATTTGCATATTGATATATAGAAATTTTATTTTATCAAAACTTATGTTAAACATAAATATATACGTACCATTTAATTCTTTTTAATGTTGTAAGTCAATCGTTGAACATCAACAATCATTGAAAATCAATCAATCGTTAAAAGTCAAAAAGATCCAAATTTTTGGGGTGCATTTTTTTAGGGCTAGGGTTGGGTATATATATATATATATATATTCTATAATAAACAAATTTCATAATAGCAAAAGCAGGTGCTTTTACTGTGGGGACGCCCAAATATAAGTGGGTTTTAGACATTTTAGTCATTTTTAATCATAAAATTTAAAATACAAATCAAGTATAGTTTCCCTTATAATAAATTATTCCCGCATATTTTAATTAATTGATTTAATTTGGTTAAGTTACCAAATCAACTTTTTACGGAATATTTTAGGACCCTGATCCAGATACAGGGACCTGTTCACGTAATATATGTAAGTTTCGTATTATAGGTTTATTGTGTTAACTTATTACTGTATTAATTTAGAAATAAAATAAATATATATATACTATACAATGAAACTAATTCATTTAATTGCATAACGATAAATATATATTATATAAATATATATAAATATATATACTTTTTATTTTATTTCTAAGTTTATACAAGAACAGATTCAATCAAATGTAAACTTTTTAAAATAACGAATCAAAACGAATTTGATTTATATATATAGAATTTAAAATGAATTTGTAATTGAGTAAGTAACGGTAAACATGTACCTATTCATTGATTTGTTTCGTTAATTTATTTACAAAGTCTTCATGATCTTTATATGTTACGTACGTATATTTGATCTAATCTGAATCTCATTGATGGTATTTTTCAATTGAAAGTTTTTTATCTCTGGTATATAACATGTAAGTATATATAACATATAAGTATATACCATGTAAGTATATATAACATATAACATATAAGTATATATCATGTAAGTATAGTATATAAGAGCCTTAAAACATTAGAGTTATATAGAATAAAGTAAATTGTTACTTTAGAATTATCTAACAATTGGAAATATCTTGTGTGTATGTTCTTCCAAAGTAAATAGCAAAAATAACTGTGTAAAATTATGTATGAAAATATTGTTACATATGTACTTCGAGTTTTACATAATAGGAATATATTATAAGAAATGCACAAAAAATTTTAATAAATTGTTCGTTACATTGTTATTTCCAAACTTGGATGCACTTGGATGTACTTGGATGTACTTGGATGTACTTAGATGTACTTGGATGTCTTGCAAATATAGAAATATGCCGCACATCTTTGTATCGGCATTCATTTATATTCATGTATTTCATTCATATTCTCGTACTACATATCACCAATTCTGCAGAGAAGGGTAGTCGGCTGGTGATTTACATTAATGATAAAAATAGTTTAGCTCTTATTTCTTGCGATATGTATATTGTCAATTCTTTCTATAATAAAAAAATTTTTGGACGAAAAGAGTTCGTTATAGAAAATTACTACCTACGTATGTTTTCTTAAGAACCCATGACTAGTGTTGCCTATGACCTGTTATGACCTATTATTGGCTAATCATCGGTTATGACCTTATGACCTCCTAAATTTACTATCACTACGTATTACTGTATTACACATTATAGCTATTGTCATGACTGCCTTGGTTATACGTATATAAAATTGGATATGACCTAAAATAGCCAACATACGTACGTATTTTCCAAAGTCATCTATATGATATTTAATTTTGAAAATTGATTGGTTAATAATATACTATATAGTAAGTAGGATCCTGCAAATACCCGTGCCAGGCAAGTGCCAGTGTTGTACCTAGTACCAGTGTCTAAATATATGTCAGGTATTTCTTGGCAGGCAGTGCCTTTGTCTGTGCTTGTGTTTAGGAATGGTAAAAAAAAAAACCCTCCGTTTTTAAATGATAAAAGTCTGAGATAAATTTTTTGCTGAAACTGAAAATATTGCTTCCAATTAATTAATTAATTTTAGTCGTCAGCTGAAAAAATTTTTTTTGAAAAAAAAAGACGGCGTACATTTGCCTCCAAAAGTTTGTCACGATTAATAAAATATTAATAATATTATTACTATTATGTAACATTGAATAAGTTTTTGCAAATGAATTATTTGAAGATTAGATTGAAACAGAATCCGAAAATTTTTTATATTTTAATAAATAACTTTTAATCAGTCAACTGAATCAACTCGGAATAATTACTTTTTTTTTTTTTGGTGGTGTTTTTTGACCATTTTGATCAGGTTCTGGAACTTTGGTAAAGTTTAAACGCCTTTCTTTTAAAAAAGTACATGAGACGTTGAAGAATTCTTTTTTATTTTGCAATAATAAATAATACGTATACTGTATAATTTAAATTACGCAATCGAATCATACATTTTTTAACCCTACTTGTGCAACGCCCCTTGCTCCCCACAAAAAATTGTTCACCCCATGTAATTTTGACCAATCGAGTTTTAACCATCTTCTGCGGCCGAATTAAACGCCTCTTATGCACTGGCAAATTTAATATTGATTATTATTAAATGCTATTATTGTTATTAATCAAATGTATAAACTATTACGTATGTAATGTTTTCTGCATTCTCCTTAGGAGTTACCCACCGATTATTATGTTTGCATTTATGTGATTAACATAAGGTTTATTTTCCAGATTAGAAATAAAGGCTCGCGCGACTAAGACATGAACTTTGGATGTTATATGAATACCGTTTATTTTTATATCTATTTGTGCGTAACAACTTCTTTTACAAATATTTCCTTCAAGGTTAGATACTAATTTATCAAAATTCACTATAAGGTAACTAAAAATTCCATTATCATTATTTATTATTTATATATGAACTTTATTTTTTTTCAAATTTGGGAAAGGTCAAAGAGACAAATGAAACAATGGTTTCATAAAAATGATCGAAATTTTAATCTTTTTAACTTAGCGTCGGAAAATTTTTAATGTCAATTATCTAAATCGCTGTCACATTAAATAAATTTCTTGATGAAATTGCATTAGTTCTATACCATTTTTTCATAGTTGTTGACTTTTGTCTATAAAATACCAAAATTTTTGAAAAGTTCATAAGAGTGGTCGGGTTTTTGTCAAACATTCTAGGGTCATTAA